TAGCTACGCCACTGATTACATATTATGATACCAATAATATTTCGTTACAACTGATTTAATTTTTTTAATTTACATTTTTTTAATACGTGTGATACGTGATAAAAACGTTTCGCTTTCTAGTTGTGAATACAACAGAGCTACGCTAGGTTTTCCTTCAACCAATCAAACTGGATATATAATATAGGAAGAAGAAAATGAGGAGTCCTTCACACCTTTGTGGGCAAGCTGCATCTACTTGTGCGCGTAATAGTTCCAGGCCTATTACTTATGGGCTGATTAGACAATGGGCAAAGAAACATACCCCACATCCATGAACTGCATATGTATTTAATTACTTTAAAAGGCAAGGGAAGGACCGATTTTAATTATAAATTACTTTATATCTAATGTTAAATCAGTAGATACTGTTGATTGGAAATATTAAGCAAATAACTTTCCATGTTGATCTTAGTAGTATAATCTAGAAAATGTCTATATTTATATAATTAAAATCAGTGTTTAGTCTTCCAAAATTGTTGCTTTGATTATTTTTTTTTATGGATGGTCTATTTTTCAACAAATAAAGGTGTAGAATTTTTTATTTATTATGTGATTGATAATGCCTTGAAAAATATTAAACGACTTATCATGGCTTGCCCTATAAATAATATTCTCAGAAAACCTATTTTTACACACCTTTGAAAAAATTGAACATGGAACAAAAAAATTAATTTTATTGTCAATAATTAAAGTTAAAATTCTCTGCATTATAAAAAAGTAGCCAAGTAGTGCATTCACAGTAGAGAGCGACAGCGACATGACAAACACAACACGACATTAAACTACAGAGTAGCTGATGTGTCGTAAGCAACATAGCATTCATAGTAGTTGAGTTGCGATAAGCATATTTTTATTTTTTTTAAAAAATGTATCTACAACTTTAAAATTATTATATATATCCTTATATGAAAAGGAGAAAAAATAATCTGAATGTTAGAAAAGAAGAGGAAGGAGAGTTCTCAGTACTATTCCTAAAACTTATAAACAATCCTAAAAATTTTACAATTATATGAGATAACCAAAATATATATTTCATTGTATAATCTAAATTGAAATTTTGTATTTAGAAAACCTTTTATTATATTTTAACCCATATTAAATCAAAACTAATGGTAAAAAAACAAATTTTATTAAAAATCCCACATCAGTAGAAGAAAAATTGATGATAACACTAAGGTTTATATTAATTTAATTTTATATAATCAAAATTGCTTAGATATTTGGGAACAGGATGTAACTATCCATCGCCTTTCAAGGGCCAGAAGAATGGTGGAATGCACCTTTGGCATATTGGCATCTAAATGGTGTATTCTTAATCGAGCCATGGATGCCAATGTCACCAATAGCGAAACAATTATAAAAACTTATGCACTATTACACAGTTTGTTATTGATAAATAAAACATAGATCTCCACCCCAAGGATACTCAAGATCTTAAACAAAATAATTATTTATGGAATCCTCAATCTATAAAAAACCCCTCAATGGTTTCTAAAGATATTAGAGATGCCTTTTCTGAAATAAATTATCATGGCCATTATAGCTTTATAATTTAATAAATTTTAAAAATATTACTCTATTTTTTTATATTGATTTGTAATTATTTAATAAAAAGAAAGTTTATTATATGTGTCTTAAATATGATAAAAATAATATACAAGCCCTCCAATGAAATAATAACAATGCAATATAAAATTTTTTATTATTCTTGATCACTGTCAAAATTGAAGAGTATATCAAAAATAATTTTAATTAGCTTTTTCTTTCCCCTTTCTCATCTTTTTGCAAGGGTTTGCTCAAGCATAACATTGATCCAAGAATTTGTAGTTAATCTTCTGTCTTTCATTTTTTCTATTTCAAGTATTTGCTCAAAGATCTAGTTTAAAATAATAAAAATATTTACAAATGCAAATTACCTTAATCAATATCCCTCTTTTTAATTAATTTTTTGCAAGATAAATTTTATCCTATACTAGTTGATGGTGATGCTAAATATATATAGATTACAATCATTCCTTAAAATTGTAGCTTCACTACTTGTCTCTATGCAGGGGATTTCAAAGGCTATGTATTAATAAAATCTTAACAAAAATTAGTATATTTACCAATTTAAAATATTAAAGTGATTTATCATTAATAACACTATTATTGTAATTAACTAGAATCAACCTAAATTATGCTTAATATTTGAAAAAAGGAAAAGGATTTATTATAATCCCAAAAAGAGATCCTAACAATTTTAATCATAACTTAATTTTGAAGATTATCCGTATTTATTTACTTTTTTTCAATACGTAAAAATATATATTATGAAATCTACTTATAAACGAAGACAGTTAAATGAACTAATTACGATTTATAATTATAATAATTAGTGCTAATTAATCGAGGCATTGGCAGGGGAGAAGGGGTAGAATACTAGAAAGTAGGCTTAGACTCATATTTATAATTGTAGTTATAAATTATTTTATAGAGTAGTTTTATATAATATATGTACGACATATGTTCATAGAGGTTTAGCAAATTCACGTCTATGATTCATTGCGAATTTTTAAAACTCATAATATCCCTACCCTCGTAATTTATTACAATTTCACCATTAATTTTTATGTTTCAATTTATCGAAAATATCCATGAAAACGGGTATTTTGCAACGTCTTATTTTTGGATATCCATCTTTTAATATTATTCGTTCGAACATTGATATAATCTTCCTTAGTAATAACAAGTTTAAAAATCGCCCGAATCTCGGTCACTTAACCGGGTATTTTTTTAAAAAATATTAAAATTTGATTTGTTTAGTTTGCAATAGAGAAATTTTTTTGTTCCTTTGCATTGTTCATAAAATATCTTACCTTGAGTATTGTAATTTAAATTTAATACTTAAAAAAAATTATTATATCATGATTTTGATAATATAAAATTTTAATTTGTAATCTCATCTCACCTTATCTTTCTTTGTCTTATAAAGATAAAAAATTTAAAAAATAATGTAATGAAACCTATATAAGGTGAGGCATCACATTTAGGCAGGGTTGTGCATTTGACCGGTCAAATATGGACAAATACGTTCAAATATGGTCAAATTCAAATAAATGTTTATTAAGACATAATTTTATCTTATATATAATAGTAAAAAAAGCTCTCCTTGGCAATGTCTTGTTCTAATTTATATTCAATATTATAATTTTCTTTAATATTTTATCAATTTTAGGTTATGATATACTCTTATCAATTTTCTGATTATCGAGATCTTCAATTTATTTTCTCTATCAATATTACCTCAAACAGACCAATTTCTTTCTGGAAATGATGTATAACTAGGAATTGTTATTAAAATATTAGACCCTTCTCTTAATATTTAAGGTGAGCAGAGCCCAACAACTTGAGCCCGAGAGCGGAGTTTTTTATGAAAGTTACTGCCTTCCATATATTTTGGCTATTAAATATACCGCCGCTTGTACTTCTGAAATTTATGATATCACTGAAATTTTGAAATCACCAAAAATGAATAATTCTAGGTATTATATCACATGCTTCATCAAACTTACTACTAATAAGATCCCCTTATATTGAAGTTCTAATAAATAATCAGCAGTATGAGCACATATATTTGGATTGTTTTTTCTTTTTCAAACATATCTTTAATTTTTTTTTCAGGTAGGGAAATAAAATCATGCATAGTTTTATGTGTTTTCCAAATTAAGCATTCGTTTATTACATGGGCCTCCCTTTGCACTTAATAGCTAAATGCTTATAAATAGTTTAAAATTTAAATTTTTCGTCCAAAGTATTTCTTTATTTAGTATATTATTGGTAATTTCTTTCGGACAAGTATCCAACTTCTTCAACAGCTGCTTTCAGAGCTTTCTTGCATATTTGTATTTGCTCCTTATATTTTATTGACGATACCCATCTTGTTTGAATTATTGTACATATTATATAAATTAGCAATTAGTAATTTTCTCAAACCATGCTTTAGCAAAATTATTATATTTATTTATATATTGAGATCCAATCAAATTAATAATGAGAAAAATATTTTATTTTTATATTTCAAAATGAAATTCTAATATTTTAATATGAAAATAAAATTATAATTAAATCGATGCCTTGATGATACAAATATATTTTTAAATAAATTGTAACCTAATGATAAACTTGCTTTAAATACATTAGTTAATTAAATCAATATATTTATTCACCAAAAACATTTTAGTGTATTTGACCGTATTTGACCAGGTTAAATACTCCTTCGGTCAATTTACCGGTCAATTTACCAACTCGCCAATCCCGCGTTTAGGTTAAAATAGGTATTTATAATGCGATTTATGAAGGGTATATTAGAGCCTAAAAATTTAATATTCCCCGAAATTTATAAGCCCGATCCTGGCCCCAAATATTTTTAAAATTTTAGGCCCTTAGCCTGGTTTCTGGCCGTGTTTTAGGGCTCAAAGGGATGGATGAATCCAAAAGGGCCAACAATATTTATTTAAGATATGTAATATGAGAGTTGTTAAAATTTTTTTTTCAAATGTATTTACTAGGTACATGGGATACAAATTAGGCACTTTTATAAAAATGTTTCTAGATGAGTTAACGGACTTCAGATATTATGGATATGCGAATTGTTTTAAGGTGCAAAGGACGTCTCATTTGATCCCCTCCCACTTTACTTCTCCTAAATTAAACTTATTAATTATGTTTTAGCAAAAATATATCTAATGTATCCCAAAATCAATTACCTTAATCATCATTTCATATAAATTGAACTTATTTTTTTGGGTTGTGTTCGCTTATTTCAGATATGCGTTTTTACAACAAAAAATTGCGAATAAGCTAAGATGACCACTAATTAATATAATATTCATTATGATTAAAGAGAAGACCTAAATTTCATAATAAGATAAAATCAACCACAGGTTTTTATATTAAATTGAAATTATTTTATAAAAAAAAAGAATTATAGTCCCTTGGAAACAATTCCTTCAAGAATTAAACAAACACCATCCTATTTCATCCGAAATTGAAGCCACCGCACTTAAAACTACTATTGACTTAAGCTGCAATGACTACATATCCATATTCGAATTCGATGTTTTTACTCGGTATTAATAAACAATCTTAATTTATAAAAATTTATTAAGACATACTTCTTATTGTTACGAATCCGAATCAGCTGTGATTTCGTTAGCGATTAATTTTGCAATGCTTGAGCAAAGCGCACTATAAATGGAGCGCTAAGTTTAAGGACCATAAATTCCTCAACATAAAAGAAAATTTCTTATCCTAATTCATTTTCTGAGAATTTTCAGAACGGGTTAATTGATGGTCGGGAATAACCATATTTCTGATATTAGTAATTTATTTATAGTTTTTTTAACAATCGTGTAAGCGGCTTAATTTGAACCGATTTTTAAAAGCGTCTATTTTATCCAGAAAAATATTACACAAACCTGAAGATTTTGGTTATAGATTGTACAGGTTTGAACATTTATTCACGCAATCTCTAGGTTTAGGCGATATTTTTCTGGCTAAAATATTGAGTTAGCCGTTTTTAAAAATCCAATCAAATCGAGCCGTTTAACAACACTAGTCGCGAGTGATTTTTTCTTCTTTAATGTCGAATTGCTGCACTATAAATCAGATTTTGAAAAAAACTCACGATGAAAAAATAAGATTTTTTGAGCAAAATTTGTAAATTTTATGCTTAAAAAATATTTTCTAGATGAATTCAAGAATCAGAATCTGATATAAATATTATTGCGATTCCTCCCCCCTTCCCCTTTTTTAAATTATTTGTTCAGTTAAAAGTTGATGAAAAATTATAAATAACAATGAATATCGTTTTCTCCAACGCACAATCAACGCAGTCTTTTTCAACCCTGGATGAGTCTTTTACATAATTGGAAATTGTTGGCGGTGACGCATCCGGGCTACATGGCCTTCTTGACTTACGAAGAAGTGAAAGATAGATTGACTTGCCATATAAACAGACCCGGCAGGTATTTTCTACTATCTTTTTTTGTTATCTTACGTTTATCGATCACTCTTGCTTAAAAAAACAAATTATGTAAATGTATTCTTTATAGAAATTTGCCGGATATTGCAAAACCGGTATTGAACCGACTCCGAATAAAGTATTTCATATTAACATATTCTATTTATTTTTATTTAAAAAGTTACGTGTTTCGTTTGAGCTGCACCAGACTTGGCCAATGGGCCATAGGCTACGTGACGAAAGATGGAAAAATATTGCAAACTATCCTTCAAAATATGTCGTTGTGTCAAGCACTACACGAGGGCTATCAACAAGGATTGTATAAATGCGAAAATACTTAATAAAATATTTAAATTTATACTTTTAATCATTCTCTTTTTTGTAAGGAATATAGATGGTTAATAGCTAAAAATCGGCTTATTCGACCTAATTTTACCGATTAAATAGCCAAATAAAAATCCTTGAAGCATTGAGGCGCAATTTTTACTTTCTTCAAAATTAAACTATAAATTTAAAAAAAGCCCGAATTGATATATCATAATGTTCCCTACATACAATCATATGGTTTTCAAGTAGTGTTGTAAAATGAATTCCTTTAAAAAAAATAGAACAGTTGCGCAATTAAATAAAATAATTAATATTTTTCTGATAATAGATTTTATTTTTTTAAAAATAGGATTAGCTACTATTAATATTATAATTGTCTATTTCTTGATTAATTGTAGGCATTGATTTACAAAAGAGGATATAAAAATACCTGTTAGCGGTGCCACATTGAAATTCATAATAATTTTCTATTTCAAAAAAAAGCTATTTATATCCCGACGGCCAAATGGATCAAGATGAAATTATCCGTATACCTCTAACTACTAATCATTCTTCCACTCTTTCCGTCTCCGATCATAGCATAGGCTCAAACATTACGCCAATTAATCAGGATAAAACCCGCAAAACATCGAAACCGACCAAACCTCATCGTAAAATTCAACGCTTGAACGCCCTTTTGCAACAAACTCTACAAGAAAATATAAATTTTATTGAGGCCAGAGGAGAAGGAAGGTTTCAAGTTAGTAAAGAACAATACGAGATTTATTGTCAGGCTGGAACTACTTATCAAAGTTGCAAGATCTGTTCAGAGAACGATAAAGATGTCAAGGTAGAACCATGTGGACATTTGCTGTGTAAACCATGTTTGAGAAATTGGCAGGTTTGGTACAAATTAATATTTTTTATTTTACCTTGCATGTTTATCATTTTAATATTAACTTTTAGCCACGGGGAATATATAATAACCTAAAAAATTGTTCAACTTCGCCGTTCAAATTAAAATGCTACCGTCACCTACACTTAAAACTAAAAAACAATTATTTTTGAGTATACAAAAACATAAATCAAAATCTATCTTAAAAAAAAATTGAATATCCAAAATTAAAACAAAAAAAAGTATATAGGCTGTGTCCTGGCTATAACTAATTTTGATATTTATAGGCTAATAAACAGCTTTTAACTTGGGGTTTATAGTCAAAACAATTGGTATCTTAATTTAAATTGTTTCTATATAGTATTTTATAATTATGTAATTTAACATCTAATATTATGCAATTATATTGACCTCAATAATATAATATTAAATGTAGGAAAGTTATAATATTGTATTACAAATATAATATTCAAAACCTTTTAAAATATATATAAAATATATTTTTTTAAGTATTAGGTAGCATTGTTATTTTTCGTATTTTTTTCGCGTCTTTTAGTTTTACCTTTTAGTAAAAGCTATATAGCCGAATTTTTTTAATAAATGAGTCGAACCAGAACTCGGACATAAAGATTATATTATTTTTTTTTATATAAGTATGAGCATTTACCTTTTAAAATATAATGTGATTGCCCTTTCATAGATTTAACCAGAACTTTAAAAATTTCGCAATTTGTGAAATTTTCACCTTGAAGGATTTTTTATGCATAGAAATTACAAAATATTTACTTATAAAATATTTTTTAAAGAGATTTTGGCATTTTTAGGTAAATTTGATCAAAAATCTGTTCTTCAAAAAAAAACTTCAAAGATTTTTGCTCAAACATTTTTTTTTCAAACTCTGGATTTAATTAAATAATAATATATTATTTATCAAAGAATCAATGAATTTAGGGGCAGATGAGAATGCGATATCAATAATAATTAATTTTTTTTTTAGGATTTCCTTAATAAATATTCATTGTATGCTTCTAACAAATATTCGGAATTCTAATAATTTTTTTTATTCGATATTCTCGAATATTATTTCGAATGGTGATGGTAAATTCCAATTATAATCTTTAATTATCATTATTTGAATGCACGAAATATTTTATTCCTAAATTCTGAATACCCTCTTATTATTAACATATACTTTCTAGGAATCGGAAGGAGGTATTAATTGCCCCTTCTGCAGGTCCGAGATCAAGGGAACCCAGGATATAGTGGTGGACCCTTTCCAAGAAGAGCGAAACCCCAGTCATTTCGATAAATTTAACGAAAGCCACCTCAAATTACCATTGATCGATATTTGTAAATCACCCAATAATAAGGACACTACGCGTTCGAGAGTTAATGAGCCCACTACTTCTTACGTTAATCTTAATGGGGAATCTAGAACCAATGATATTCAATCTTCGGATGAAATTAGCGAAAATATTGTTAATAATGGTAGTATAGAAACCGAGGAAGAAGAAGCATGGGACGCGGATAAGAGTCAGATCCACGAGTTGTCCATTTTTTTCTCGCCGAATAATTTGCATTATAACCAGGTTTTTAAACAAACTTTTTTTTATTCCGAATTCATTTCAAATAATAAAATTAAAAACTTAAGAAATAAAATATTTTGTTGCTTTATTATAAATTTTTCTTTTAATGTTTCTAAAATTTTTTTTGGTACTATCCCTAATTCTTTTGATTCGCTTAAGTATTTTTTTTTCCTAGAGGAGAAAATACACTCCCTCGCCTGATCAATCTCCGATTCCATGTTCGCTCAATAAAATCCATATCAAACAAAATCCACCTGAATTGCCTCCTAGATTTAAAGGTGTAAATGATTCGAATATTTATCCACGGCGCACTGAAGCCTTAGTGTAAAATTAATAATAAATAATACTATTTATTTTTTAAAAATAAAATTACGATCAATGTATTTCATCGAATCTTAAAATCATATTTTAATCTAAATATAGATCCTCTCAGTCAATGGATACGATACAGCATGAAAAACCACAATTTTATTCATTTAAACAAAGTAATAAATTGAATTTTTATTGGTTCATACCTTATGAAGTTGGGTGGTTGGTATAGTAGCTTAAATTCTAAACCTTTGTTAGTTAAATATTACAAATGCCAAAAAAATGCATTTTTATAATCTCTCATTTCAATTTTAAATTTACGCCTCATCTCTCCCAGATATACTAACGTTTTTAAAATATTCAATTTTTGCCTCCAAAGGTCGAAAACAATACCCTTGTTCTAAATCTACCACCTCCCCTTCCAAAAAATGCTTGTTTGGAATTTCGGTTAAAAGTGGCAAAATTGTCATCTTAAACCGCGAAGATTTAATAACCGTAAATCGTATCAAGGATGCTAACCATTCGGATATAATTATTCGCCACTCAAAATCAAAATCTCTGGAACCTTCAGATTTTCAAGATTTACGAAATCACCAATCTACGAATTTTCAAACAACCGACCTTGATAATGATATAAATGATCATAAGCTGCCTCATAACAATTCTAGCGAAGGTGCCGAAAATAAACGCTCATATCAAAATCAAGGCGATCTCGAAGAATTAGTGAGTCAGCAGAATGCCAGCATCTCACATCAAGACCTATCCCCTAATTTATTTTCTCCTCTGTTACCGTCTGCCTTACCTTCACCAATTAAGCCAGAGTGTCTGGTAGATTATAAAAAGCAATCCTTCATTTTTTGAAATTCCTATTTATTTTACGTAGAATTATTATAAATAGTTAGTAATGGAATAATCCTTAATTAAAATAATTATTGATATAGGGAATTTAAGAATCGCTTATCATTTTTAAATTTAAAAGTCCTTTACAAATCTCGCATATAATTAAATATAAATTAAAATACCTTAATTATATCTTAAAGCTTTTAACAGTTTGAATCTGAATTTACATTTTTTATATAACAAATTAAAAATAATATATTTTATAAAATTGTGATATATTATGATTATACTTATTTTATATTAGAAACGACTCTTTCTTTTATATAGATATATAATAAATATTTTTTTTACAAAAATAGGTAAAACTCAGAGGTTTAAAATTTTTTTTAAAATGAATTAAAAGTTTGCTAATTTCGTATCTTAAGATAAATAAAACTAGATTTTCCAATTTGTAAAGCTTTTATATTTGATTTTTTTCTTCAGTTCTAAGGTTATTTTGTAAGCCTACGTCAAAGGAAATTATTTCTTGAGCAGGTATAAATTATTTTTAAATAATTGAAGTCAATGTCATTGGCTGTATTAGATACAATTGAAAGACATTTCTTCTAAATATTTTTCTATGGTGGATTTAAATGAATGCACACTTTTTAAATAATGAATCGTCAAGTTAAGGTTAGTATAAAATGTAATTTGGCTTATGTATAATTTCTTCCAAAGAGTAACCATAAATTTAAAAGCGGAAAAATCGGATATCAAAAACAGAAAACATGATAAAAAAATTGATAATTTATTTTTTTTGTATATCGGATTTTGATGACAAAATTCCTAATAAATCATGCATCGAGGATTGAAAATTTTTGTTTAAACGATCGTTCATCTCCCTTCTTTGAGTGGCATTAACCTTCGAAGAACTTAGAGATATAGCATAATTTATAGCTTCTTTCCTGGGATTATAACAGAAGCCGTAACTTTTGTAGTCGTTGACGTTAGCTGGTCCGTAAAACATGAATGAATCATGGGAGTTCGATACCTTATCATTTTTTTAAAAATAAATGGAGTTTATAGAAAACAGAAAAGTTATTAACCTCGAGACTCGTATAATATTATTTTGTCTAAAATCTGCAAAATCTAACCGTTTAACAACCCAGAAAAATACGAGGGTTCCAGGTTCACATCCCTGTTTTATAACAGCTTCGTTCCAGTTTAAATTAATTCATATCTGTTCTTTCCAGTTAATCTTTGATTTTTTTAAAATTTATCAGTTTTACATATTTTTTTAATTGACCAATAATAAACTCATAAAAAATTTAAGTTGAATTTATTTTGTAATTATTATAAAACTTGAATAACAAATAACGAAATCCATACTTTAAATATATTAAAAAAATAACCGTTCATACGTATTTTTAACCGTTTGATTTTCTCCAGAGTTATTAAAGTAGCGCGCTAACTTTTTTGGTAGCTAATAGCTAAACTTTTTTTGAAAGTTTAAAAAATATAATGAAGGTTAGTATAAACAATAAAAATTTATATACAATATCATAATTAATTATAATTTTTATGATTTATTATATAATTTTGAAATTGAAATATAATTTCAATTTGTAATTTATATTTTCATTTGTATTATAAACCTAAATCACATGTTAATAATTTAAAATGTCATCGCCTATGGATATCCAAATCGTTGAAAGTGATTCAGAAAATGATATTAATATAGAAGATACTAGAGAAGAAAATGTTCTTAATAGCTATAATACAAATTTCCCATTCCCTAGATTTGAAAATTTATTAAAATAAATATATAACCAAAACTGGTTTCAAATTTATTTGTTTAAAATGTAAAAAAAAATATTTCCTCAAATCAATCATAAGTTATATAACCCTAAGAAACACCTAAAGGTAAATTGTCATTTTTACATTCCAATAATATATAAGACTGTTCATGAGTTTTAAGGAAATGGAGAAACATCTAAATAATTTTGGTATAGGTGACTCTACATCCAAAAAGATTAATTCAATTCAAACCAAATTAATTAATAATGCAAATGACAATATTTCTCAGAAATTGGCTGATAAAGTTATTGTTGATTTTATAATTTATACTATACAGTTCAGCCAATGTCCTTAGTTGATAATCCATCATCTACCATGATGATTAAAACTCTATCTCCTGGTACAACAATTATATGCCGCCAGACACTAATGAATAAAATAGCAGATAACTTTAAAATGATGAAAGATGCTCTAATAGTAGAGTTATCAGAGATATCATATATATGTACCATGGGAGATAGTTGGGCACATAACAGAAGGTAAAAACTTATTTATATTTATAAATTAATCTGATTAGCTTATTTGGGAATCACAGGCCATTGGTTAGACCCTAGGACTTTAAAAAGAAGATCTGTGGCATTAGCCCTCAAAATGATAATAGGACGCCAGACATACGATGTACTTGCAAATAAAATTATTGAAATCTATCTTATATTAAAATTATGTATATAAGATTAAATACGCCCTTACCCTCAAGTGCTAGTGTCGAGAGATTATTTAGTAAATCAAACCTTATACTTTCTGATCGTCGCTCTAGACTTGGGGATGATAATATTGAAATGATTTTATTAAAATGCAACAAATTACCATAAATATTTATTTTTATTACATAAATTTTTTTATAATCAAAACTAACTATATTTTAATATTTATAAATGTTGATTTTTATATATTTACTATACAATAACATTATAAGCAAAAAATAAAAAATTTGTTTGTAAATTTTTTTTATAAAAAGTAGCTGAAGCTACTTTTAAAAAATAGTAGCTAATAACGAGCTACTTTTTTTGACAAATAGCGGTAGCGCGCTACTTTTAAAAGTAGCGTTTAACAACTCTGATTTTCTCCTTTTGAGATTTTATTTTAACGGTTCTGTTATAGTTAAGATAAGAAAATTTTTAACAGTTTATCGGTTCTACTCTGTTTACCCGAAACTAAAAAAAAGAGGACCCGGAAATTTGAACCGGTTCCTAGGGTTATGGTCTCGGTTTTGAAGAATTTAAGCACTAGAACCACGTTTCCAGCTTTGGAAATTTTATAAGGGATGTTCCGATTCCATAAGTTAAGAAAAAATTCTTGCCGGTTAAGAGATACTTTTCAAAGGTGTCTAAATACCGATACTGACACATGAAGAATTTTCTTAACCCTATTCCAAAACAGATTGAACCCTGTAATTATAAATTCAATCAAATTATCCTAAAATATTTTCAAAATAATCATTTTTATTTTTTTAAAATAAACTTGACTGGTAGACAACGAAAAATATCGACTTTTTGAATAGGCAATGTCTGTAAATATTTCTAAAAGTCTTCCATGAAATTTTTCAGCGCCGGGCATGGATGCTGATATTATTTTTAAGCCTAATAAATGTCTATCGACGCCTTGACCATCCATTGCCTACATAATTTGTTTTTTAAAGGAAATTAATCGTAAATATTGAAGTATGGATGATTTCTGGGTCTAATTCGAGAGAAGAAAAAAACTAGCTCTCAAATGGTATGCTGTATATAAATAAAAATATTAATATTTTTTTTTTCAGCATTATAATTTAGGAAAAATATTATATTTCAATTTGAAACTTCTTTAGCTAGACTGGAGTGCTTTTCCAGAGCTTTTTTTAGTAACGGGTAAAGTTCATCATTCTTATTATTCTCGTAATCTTGTGATTCATTTATCGAATGATAATTAACGAATCTTGTACAAAATCGTGTCGATTCGGCAGTGCAAGAACGAATGGTCTCAGTTCTTCCATTCAAAAATTTCCTGGTAGATGCAGATTCATAAGTGGCGCATACTTCATTATGTGTTCTTTTCATGGTAAAAAAAAATAAAAGGTGTAATTTACCAATTCGAATTTGACGGCCAAAATATCTAATATACAGATTGACCTATGCTCTATAACATTGAAAATTACCACCAAAATTTCGGAATTTAAATACAAAGACTATAAATGTCGGCCCAGACCAAAATGGCCCGTGGAAATTTTCTATCAAATTTTTCGACCTGGCTCGTAATATTTTGAACAATTCGTGTATGGTCCGAAAATATTTATTTAAATAATTTGTATCAAATTGAAAATTAGATAAAAATTTTATGCTTACCAATTCTAATTGGTATTATGTTTTATCCACACTTTTATCAAAACATGCCATACTTATAAATCTGGTAAAAAAATTAGAATTAACATGCAAAAAACAGGAATTTACTTTCACAGCAAATATTAAAATTTTAATATAATTCTTGCCATTATCAAGGGTTAGTGTTTGCAGTGGTCAGGTGAGACCAAAGGGCTAGTCCGGTCTCATGTGACTATTGGGTCCGACAATACGGTCCGGTTCGATCCGACTGAAGATCGATTAAAAAGATAAAAGTTTACTATAAATTACTTTTCAATTAATGTACATGAATACTTAAAACATTACTATTTAATGCCAACACTATATAATATCATTTATCGTTTACTTTTTATATTCTTCCGTTTCATTCATTCGTCAAGTAATTTAATTTAGGTGCGATTGAATTTATTAGGTATTATATTTTTAGAAATTGAAATCATAGAGGAGATAATATTATTGAATTACCTTTTTCTGGGGGTGAAAATTTTTTATCCTAATTATCCGGCCTATTTTTTATGTATGACTTGTCCGGCCGAAGTTATGATTTTTGTCTGCCTGACCTTTTTAATTTAATTAAAAATTTTCTATCTGGCGGGCCGGGCTTTGTAAATCTCAAAAATATAAGGTAGCGCCATACATTATATATTTAAAAAAAATATATATACTTTTATATTTTACGCAACACGAAACATTTTGTAGAAGGTTTTTTAGATATGCATTTAAATGGCAGTTATAAGGGAATTTTTTAAAATCATATTTTACGCGATATTTTATCACTCCGGAATATTATTCCGACACTTTATCAATGGTATTTTACTAAAATTGAAAGTAATATATATGTATAAAAATGATCAAATAGGGGGGAGGGGATCAAATTAAAATGGAAAAATTTTCTAGATCAAAGAAATGGAACGTGTTTAAAAGGTCGATATTTATTTTATTTAGGGGATGCTCAGTTTTTCTATAATAGAAAATATGTTAGTTCTAATCACATTTAAGGGGTAGTGCCACTGTTATATATACGCAATACAAATTAACTCAATTAAATATGATGATAAAGGTTGCTTACTTGAAATAAGCTAATTGCAATGCTATTTGAATAAAAGCGTCCGGGCTAGTTGATAAAAGCTTTATCTTATGTTTGCCGAAATCTTGAAATTTGTACAAGCTTAAATTGAGATTATTGATTGAGCTATTGATAATATATTTTTTAATAATAATTTTTTAATATTTAGTAAATATTAGCATTGTGGAGATTTAAAAGTCAATTTTTTTCTAGGCGTTACCCAAAGAGAAAACATGGTATTTCGGTAATTAATAATTTTATAAAAGATTTAGGCCCAGCCTTGTAATTTTTTTTAAAGCTTCTATGCTCCAATGTATTATAGTTTTTTTGTGAAAAAATATTTAAAAAAATTTCATTATATTCAACACAGTCAATTTGTAATCTGGGCAAGTGCACATTTGGACATTGTAATTACGCTAAAAAACTATCAAATTTTAAAATCCATTTTTAATATAATACTTCAAATCAGAGATCTTCAAAATGGGCCGGGCCAGTCCGTGGCCTACAGGCTGGGAATGTTCTTAATATTATATTTTTCAAGAGGTTTAAACCGGGGTTTTTGAAATTTTCTTTAATGGGGGTATAAAATTTGTTTTATTAATGTTTACCTCATTTATAACCAGGGATCCAAACCGAAACGAATATCGGTTCGGTTCGGGTTCAAATAAAAATAATGGTTCAAGGTTCAGGTTCGGTTCGTAAAAAATTAAAATATCGGTTCGGTTCGAACCTCTAAGAACCGGTTTGAAAACTTTTGTATCCAAACCTACATTCGAATTATGTATAGGAAAAATTTTTTTTTTATCATTAATTTTAAAAACAAATGTATAAAATCTTCATTTTTATTAATTGCACATTATAAAATATTTAATTTATAAATATTAAAATATATATCAATGATTAATTTTAATATGAACAATATTTTACTTTTTTTACTTAAATTTTTTTTATTTAGCCGCACAATTAAGATAGTAAAAATTTAATTGTTGAAAACATCTTTCCATACTAACTAGGGTAGCCGGCACTTCCAATATGATATCAGATTTGATGTGTCATTTATAATAATATTTTGGATTTAATTTTTCTCTAAGTATTATATTTTATAAGCTTTAAATATTTAAAAAAAATGTTGTAAAATGACAATATACTAAAGTTTATAAAATTATGACCGACACTTATCAATCAAATGTGATTGATGAATCTTTAAAATAATTTGAATGTAATTGAAATTTTTTCAATATACTAATAATAACTTTAGTTTTATAAGCATAAAATCATGACGCTCGAACCGGTTCAGAAACATTTTAGCGGTTCGGTTCAGGTTCAGCTAGAAATTTTTTTAGCGGTTTAGGTTCTGTTCAGGTTCGATAAAAAATACCGGATTTTAGAGGTTTAACGGTTCGGTTCAATTTGGATCCCTGTTTATAACAATTGCGAACTTAAAAATATTGCAATAAATAAATTGTGGATATGGGATTAAGAATTTATTTTCAAATTTATCACGGGCTTGAACTGAGCTTGGGGTTTTATTAAATATTAAGTATGAGCAGGGTAGGGTTTGGGTCTAAAATTTTTTTTTTACTGCTTGATCAAATATTTAAGACCCATGAAGGTATCTGCCTCAAATAATGCACCCACTTGCGATCTGCTATATATCATACTTCATAGCTCGGAAATACCTAGTTAGCTTCAAGGGGGGGGGATTCGATTCTTCATGGACCCTGATCAATCTAAAGTGATTCCTCAATCAAGAAAACACCGATTTATTTTGTGTAAGCTAAAGGAAATTAATCGATTTTTTTTTATAAAAAAATTTTTTCGATGATTATTATTATTATTATTTTTTTTAAATAGTTTTTTTTAAAAAAATAACACCATAATTTTTTTTCAATTTTTAAAAAATAAAAGAAGAAAAATCAGTTGTCGCAAATTAATTAATTAATAAGAAAAATAAAAGCGTAAGAAAAGTGTTATAAATAAATTATTCAATTAAAGTGTGATAACTAAAACTTTATTAAAGAGTGAGTAATAAAACTTAAAGAGTAAGAAATAGAATATATATAATAACAATTTCATGAATAACAGGTTTTTATAAAAATTTAACAGTGCCAGGGGCTGCGCATTATCACTGCGGAAAGCTTATAAAAGTAGAAGATATTAACTATTATGAGGGAATAGATTTTTTGTTTATCTTTATTTTGTTATTATTTTAGTTTAATTAGCGATCATTATTATTTTTTTGTATAAAAAATATAAATTTTGTTTTTAACATTATGTAAAAATTTTGAAAAAGTTAAAAAAAATATATATTTAAAAACAAAAAATTCGAAAGTCGGTAAAAAATTCGTGAAGAAAAATAATAGTAAAAAATATTAGAAGTTGAGAATTTTAAGAAATAGAACATTGTAAAAGATAATATTAAAAAAATATAAGGAGTTGAGAATTTTAAGAAATAAAACAAAGATAATTGTAAGGTAAGAAGTATATATATTGAGGAGCAAAACATTAGCGATTATAGAAATTAATCAGCAACAATTAATTTTACCAAAATTATTTTAAAAAAATTACCAATCAGCTTCTTCTTTGGCGATCTCGATATCTTTATCGATGTTGGAATCTACTTGGAAATTTAAGAGCTGACAAAATTGAGATCCTTTTAATTCTGAATCCCTTTCTTCGACCATCTTCGAGTCACGTTTTCTGAATTTCGAAACGAAAGTTTAGGTAAGTATATAAAGGCCAATTACTGACTGGATTCTTAAAGATCCTATAAAATAGCCCTAAAAGAATTTTATAATACTGATGTATCCGTAAATAACAATAATGTAGCTTAATCTGATTATAATTTTAAAATATACAGGGTTGAACATTATCGCGGATATTTATATCTAAGAACTAACATACAATATACTTTTATTAACTTTTTTTTAAAAATACCTTATTCCTTAGATTTTTACATGTATTATAAAATATAGTTCTTGATGTTAAAATTAATCAATCAGATGCCATGCCGTTTTAAAAAAAATATCCTTTAAAATTGATAGAAGTGGATGTATAACCCTTATATATAATAATAAAGTGGGAATTAAAATATTATTACAAGCTTTCCACAATATAATTCATGATAGCAAAATAAGGAGGCCCTTCGGCCACCGTGTGTTCGTAATTTATTCCAACTCTTCCATCGGTATCTATAATTATCTATATTAAAAATCAATTTGTAATTTTTTTTAACAATTAACTATAAAGAAATATTTATTCTTTCCTTCTTTATAGAAAACAAGTGCAAGCAAAAATCAAACATTTTTTATATCCTTGGAATAAATAATTCATTTACTAACTTGTAATGTTTTATCGAACCATCTGTTCCCTGTATTGTGTTTTGAATTCAATCCATGCAAAATATTGTTGGCTTTGAGGTTCATTAGTGTCCCGTTGGACAAATCGTCACCGGAAGGTGGAATGTCTAGATCAAGACACAGCACGAATAAGCTTTGTTGAATAATTTTCATAACTCTTTTGTTGTGAGTATTAGCTTGATTTTTTGTTTGTTTACATTATCAAAAGTAATTTCAAAAAATAAATAAATATAAAATCTTTCATAAAAAAGAATAGAGAAATTCCTTAACATGTTTTTTTAAAACTTCTACTTTTGTGACTTTGGAAAATGGGACTTATAGGAACCAGACCCCATTTTTAAACAAAAGTGCGAGTAATTTTAAAATATTGTGTAATTCATTTTTTAGAGGGTTTATTTATCGTTACAGAATTTGGAACCGGAACTAGAAGAAACCATCAGAACTGTGCTAAATCTAAGAACCGGAAGAATATATCTTCAAAAATTTTAAGAACCAGTACCATCTTTTAAAAAATGATTAGAACTAAGATTTTTTATGGTCCAGGTTTCTTTTTATATCCTATATGTCGTTAAAATAGTTGATTTATATTTTAATCTTTATTTCTAACAATCAACTTTCGTAATTCTTAATATCATTTTAGTTTCGTTATTATTATCATTAAATTTACTTTGTCAATTTGAATATAAAGATTTAACCATAAAACGATTATACTATTTATTGAACATTCAAGAAATGCTAAGGTAATATTTAATAAATTAGATTTGAATGTTAATTTTACCTTATTTCTTTTAAATATAAATTTAGCTGCATTTTTTGTAAATAATTAATTAATTAGTTTAATAATAATTAAAAATAAGCTTATAAGCTGCGATTTAGTTTGCTTTACCTTTTCTCGAAAATTTTAAAAAGCCATCTGAATAGTAATTTTCAGACTTAAAAAAAATATAAGAATAATTATATAATTTTAAGTGAATTTTACAGATATCATCACTTTAGGTGTTAAGCTGTGACTTAGTTAGTCTTATATTTTCCTAAAAATTCTGAATATCTTATGTCAAAATTATTTGAAAAAAAATGAAAAAAGGGTGTCACAAGCTGTTTTTCTGAATAGAATAAGAATTACTAGGTCATAGCCATAATAAATATAAAATATCATATTTTAAAAGGCTTCCTGATCGAAGTTGTAAAAGTTCTAAACTCTGATTAAGATGCCATATCTTTACATCTTAATAAATTATTGCTTTTCGAAGGTAGAAATAAAAATAAGAGCAAAACTAAATATTACATGTTAAACTTAAATTATGAAAACCTTTAGTCAATTTTTCGTAAGCATTTGCCCAATGAAGTCTATTGCTAGCGGTTAATAAATTGACCGGATTTTTTAATTTACCCATTTTTTCGCACTTATCTATAATATACTCTATGCCTTTATAAATGGACGTTTCGTCGGTAAACCGCAATTTCCATAGCTAATAGGTAATATTATTTATTTAAAAATATATCTTTCGTTTTTAAACCTTGTAAAAAAAAGCATTTCGAAATTGAAGCCAATCATTTTAAACTTTACCTTTAGGCATTATTGGGGTTGATAAAAAAAAACTAGCGAAAAAGCAACTATTGTTATTTTATAAAATTATGACCTGTGCATCGAAGCCTTATTCGCTGCCGCCGAGGTGGCTGCGGAGTGCTATTTACTTAAAAAAATTTGAATTTAATATATAATTCAATGTATTACGTTTTTCCTATAATTTTTTTGGACTCTTAGTTTTTGCATTGTTAATATAGTTTAATTCATTTCTTAAATTATTTTCTGTCTTACTCCTATTTAAATATATTTATTTTCTCATTCTCGGAAATAGATGAAGGAATTGCATTTTTACTCAGATCAGAGTCACATAAACAACATTTTTTTGTAATATTCTATAGTAAAATTATAATTGTCATGAATAAATAATAGTATTTATATAGATTCGTGGACATAAAGAAGTCCTTTTGCATTAATCCAGCGATGGGAAAAAAATAATTCGCTGAATGTACTGGTTGCAGGTATACAAAGAATCTTCCTAGCTAAATTAGCAAGCCTAGGAAATTCCAGTCGCATTTTTCCAAATAGTTAATGTATCCTCTTCTGGTATACTTTGTTTGCTGAGCAAAAGATGATATTTTTGTTCTATATCGCTAATGTTGTTATAATCTGCTTGGAAGGTAATGTTTACGAGCTATATTAGCTATATATGAATTGGATGTTTATCCATTATCTTCAATTTTCACTCTGTGCATTTCTATCATACTAAAAGTTTTAAATGTATAATTTTTAAGATTTTGAAATTGATTTATATGTTTCTATTTCACTGCGAAATAATAACTCTAAATTTATTGCTGAACACTTTTGGAGGATAGATTCCACCGACTCTTTGAATGGATTTAATAATGTGTTAAGTTCGTCAATAATATCCCATTCGTTATTAAAACGTTTTAAGGATTGTTTTTCAATTTTTTTTATAACATTATATATAGGAATCTAAAACACTATGGATACTTTCTAGCATAATTAATAAGCTGTGCCAGCGGGTAGGGCAATCTAATCTTAAATCTGTTGGTGCAATATAATTTATATTATCAGTCTCATCAGATATATATATAAAATGTTCATCAAGGTATGATCAAAATCATCCATATACCTGGTCTGTCTCATAAATTAATTGTAGACATTTACAGTGTTCCTTCCTCTATTCCAAATTCCAAATCAGCTACTCGATATCTGAGGGCTGAAATGATTTCTTTAATATTTTAAATCAGAATAATAATTCTGGCAACTTTTATGCCATAAACTGAAACTAATTTATGAAGATGCCTAAGCAAATGCTCATAATCCCCAAATAGCACCAGTTACCATCTGTATTATTTTGTTTTTTTAAATGCAATTCCTCCTCTATACTATCGATCCCAGAATAGTTTAACCAGTATGCCTTTGCGTCATGTTTCTAGTTGCCAGGGTAAAATATTTTAAATCAAAATTTTCATTTAAATGACAACCTTTAAAAAATTAATTATTCCTTTATTGTTTATAGAATAAAATGACATTAAATCTAAGCATCATATCAAAACATATTTTAGCCTTTTAGATTTTATATTTATTTTATACATTAAAAGATATTAATAAAACATCAATTAGAGCTGGCAATAAACTAGGGTGGTTTAAATCGTGTAAGGCTTTTAAAAAAACTAAGGTATTAATGTTTGTGTAAAATATGATGCATGAATATGAATGAATGTAAATGATATACACTATTTTATTATATGCCAATAGAATAGAATTGGTATTTTATTTTTATAAATGTTCATATTAAAATTTAAATAATAATTCAATATATAAATATAATTAAATGAGATTCTAAATATTATGCATGCAGCGTCCCACAAAATAATCGGCGGCAAGTCTGGCTCCGCCGCTCATCTCAATCGGTGGCTTTTCCGGCGTGAATAAAATTGCGATATACAATAATACCTAAAATGTAAGTCAACGAAAAACTGAGGATGCCATTTTAGTTATGCATTGCATATTTAAAAATTTTTTAATCTTAATGTAAGTCAAGTAAAATAATATATCCTAACTCACATTTATTCCAAGGCTATTCTCTCAAGAAAATATTTATCCAGCAGACCAAATTCAAATAATTTAAAATATCTAATCCTATATAGGTTACCAAAATTATGTGCCACGTGGTCTCCAGCTGATTTCCATTCAATGACGCTTTAAAATGCATTGGGTCATTCCATGACAAATCAACCACGATTCGGCCGACCCCCTTCGATTTTTTTAAAATTTGGTAAGCAAAGAAAGGTCGATGTAACTAAGAAATAGCCAAAATTTTAGCCTCCTAACATTTATATTTTTGAAGATATTAGGGTTCAAAGTGTCAAAAATGACGTATTTTTACCATTATCTGCCTTATTCAATTAAGCATATCTTAAAAACTACATAATTGTAAATAACAAATTTAATAATTATTAATAATAGGTTATCCGTCTACTAGGTATTATATGCCATTGATATATTTTCCATAATCATTTTATAACTTGCTCATTTTGTTAAATTGTTTCGTGGTAAAAAAAATGACTAATTTTTATTTTTTTTTATAATAGAAATTTCGTTATAATTATATTTAAGCTTGATTTTTTTATTCCCCTCTCCCCGTTTTTTATACCTGAAAAAAAGAAAATCATTTTAAATTTATTTTATTTCAAATGATAAAGGTAAAAATGATACTTTACAAATTTTAAATTATACGTACCTCAAGTTCAAAATGATAATTTACAAAAATGTTATACTATCTACCATGTATATATATCGGTGATCTACAAACCCGGCCCGTTAAATTTTTTTTAAGTAGTCCGGCCTGTTATTTAAATGCTTTTCCGACCCGCCCAGGTTTGATAAATATTATTTACTAATTTCCCGACCCGTTTAATTAGACAAATTTTCCGGCCATCACATTTTAATATATCTAAATATGAATTTAGGCTCTTATAACTCTACTCTATGACACTCTTATTTCTATAACAACCGTATATAAAACACTTGCGTTTTTATATCTATATTGTGAATTTGTAATCGGATAGTTTCAATAAATAGTGGTTATTTTGTGAATTTACTATTTTCTTTATAGATTTAGTATTTTAATTAAATAGCTCTTAAAATGTAAAGAAATAAGGGATAAATCAAAATATTAGCTTGAATTTCAAAAAGTATATCAAAATTTTAATGCCTGGGCTGGCTCATCAAATTAGAGATTTGTTAGGTCTGGCCCATTTTATGTATGATTTGCCCAGCTTAACCTGTAAAATTTTTAACTTTTTTAAAAAATTGTTTGACCCGCTTCTAGAGCCAGGTTGGGCTTTGCTTTGTAGATCTCTCATATATATTATAGTGGGTGTGATAGATTAAAATGTGATTTTAGAAAAATACAATATATAATAAGGTAACTGATATTAAATATCAGCTTGGGCCTATGTTTTTTTAAAACTGATCCAATCATTGATATTGGTTATTTTATGATTGTATATATAATTATATATTAACTTTTATTTTATACATAATTAATAAAAAGAACCAAAATTCAATTTATATGTGATATATAAAATCAAATTATTTTAAAGGATAGAGTAGCTAAGGATTTTATTTTATTTCTACTTATATTTTCTGCAACAAGAAAGATATCTAATAATCACAATCAGCTAATGTTAAATGGCTTAATTTTCCACTTTTCAAATATGGCTAACTCAAGATTTTAGTTAAGTAAATTACCAAGCTTTGAGATTTTGTCCCCAGGTAAAGGTTTATACCTTTATTCGCCAAATTTCCAGGTTTATAATATTTTGGCAAAAATCTTGATTTAGCCATTTTTAAAAACAGGCTATATGGAACCATTTAACAATGTTATATTCAGCTGTAAACATTTCCATATTTTAACTAGATAAACTTTTAAAGGATAAAAGCAAAATATATCTAGTCCATCTTGAAAGTATATTGGGTTTTTTTATTAGAAAATATTGATTTTCTTTGGTTCAAAAAAATGACAAATGAAAATAATATAAATATTGGATCAGCAGTGGTTATAAAGTAATATCAAATTGGATCAGTGAAAAATTTGTGCATCACCCCCCTTTTAAGATTTAGGAAGATCTATAAAAGGCTTAATTCCCGTGTGGGGAAAAAGTGAAGCTTTCAATATTCAAATCAGTATAGGAATGAAATGAATTATCAAAATATGGTAATATAAACTGGGAAATACTATTGTAATATAATAATAATGAAATGACATGCATTAGCAAGCATATGCAATAAAGATTTTTATTGAAAATATTTAGCTAAGCATATTTTCTTTATATGTATTTACATGCAATGCTAGATAACAATATCTTAAAACTAACAAAAGCTTCTCACTAGATCCAACACTGGCTGGAATATAGAAAATTCAGATTGGAGCGACAGTTAGGTTGACAAACAGGAATAAAATATGCAGTTTAATCAAAGAAAAGGTGAAGAAATGTAATATAATTTAAAAAAATATTAATAATAGAATTAACTGAAAAAAAATATGACATTTCATCCCTGTTAACTATAAATATTAAAAAAAGTTTTAGTTTATTTAAAAACAAACCCAATTATTGCAGATAACAACAATATAGAAACCAGTATCATCCACTATAAGATTTCTTTTTAAATCTGATATTAGAATATCATCTTGCTCTTTACCAGGAATTCTACAATTTCCAAATATATGGTAATATTGTGACATACAGAGATGCCCAGTTTTATTAAAGTTTTCTGCTGTTTTAGATAATAGTTTATGATCAATTAAAACTTGTTTTCTAAATTTAATAGTTGCAGAAATAACACTTGATACAAAACTATTTTACGAAATAATACAATAATGATTTTATTTATTTACCTGATATAATTTAATCTACTATTAATATATCCTGAATTATGGTGGTTTAAAGTAGGAAAGATCAACCCAGGATTTGAGTTCAACACTAAAGGATATCTCCCAGATAGATATGATGCTTTGAGCCACCATTCTGTTAACTATATAATGTAAATAAAATATTATATTAGAAATTAAAAAAAAAATGTTTTATAACCCAATTAGAAGAATTTTTGACACGTTCTAATAGTAATTTCTGTAGATTCTCGCCAATTCCGTCTTTTATCCCAAATGTTGTCACAATATTTTGACTAGTATTATATTCAAGATCGTTAAGCAATGGCCTAACACTTTTTAAATATTTTTGTAATGTTTGATTTAAAGATGGTAGGGGTAAATTAGGTAATTTTTTTGAGTTTATGTTACAAATAGCTTCTTTATAAGTTCCAAAGGCATATTTAGATATATAGCAATATCTTCTACACACCTAATTTTTTTTAAAGCTAATAACAAAAAATAATTACCATATGGGGAATAATCAGGTGTTAAATGATATGATGATGGATGACTGTTCCTAACAATAAACACGACTACGAGATTGGAAATTTATTCATTAATAAAATGTATATAAAGAGGGGATATATGAAAGTAGTTCTTATTTTATAGTTTGCACGTTAAATAATTTACTTTGTCTAAAGAAATTATATTAAATTTTAGAATTTAATATTAAACAATATAATATAAAATGATTAATGACATTTAGTTGGCTATATTAAATTAATTTTTTAATATTCTAATAGTTTTCCTAACCTAAAATCTATTTATATTTTTACTTTATTCAAGATTTTACAGTTATTTTATTTTAAATTTATCATTTTGTTAACCAAAATTTAATGATATTTATTTTGTAACATTTATTCAAATATGATTTATAACTTTAGTTTTTTATGTAATAAAAAAAATGTATTTTCTTATTCTTTTTATTTTATTTTACTGTATATGTAAGTTAATCATTCGGATGAAAAATACATTTCTATTATACTTTTAATTTTAATAAAGAAATTCGAGTTACAAGGTGGCAGATGCTATGCTACTGATTCATTATGTTGCGACTGGTCGCTATTTAGATTTAATATCTATGGATATCTACCTAACATAGTCGATGTTAAAATTTGTTGCGATTAATCGCTATCTAAATTTACTTTCTAAGGATATTTAATTAACACAGTCGATGAACTTTATTTTATTCGTTTTTCCAAATACAATATTTTTTATAATCAAAATATAATTTTTTAAAGTTTTTTTGTATGAAAAATGATAATAATTATATTTTCTGAAATCGTTTTTTTATAATTCAAAAATATATATTAAAATTTTTCCTTTTTAGCTTTCACCTTTTCTGGCTGTAAGCTCCTTCACTTATCTATTATATTATTACTCATGCTATCTATCTGATCGATTTTATTTGTATCAATCCGGTGTATCATTTTCGAGGCCAAAGTATCTTGATTTCCCACCGGTGTATCAAATCAGTATCGACCAGATATCCCACCTGAGTATTCCAAACACGGAGTTATGAAATCGACAGATCCCAATCCTGATTTCCCATATATTTGTATTTCTGATCGATTTCATCTGTATCGATCACGGTGTATCACTATTGAGGCCAAAGTATCTAGATCTCCCCTATCGGTGTATCAAATCAATATCGACCAGATATCCCACCTGAGTATTCCTCACACTGTATTATCAAATCGACAGATATCTCAATTCTGATCTCCCACTGGTATCAATCCCAATGGATCTCCTACAGATTTGAAATGTAATTTTAATGTTATTTATCAAAAATAACAGTCATAAAAAAATATAAATTGTGCATACCACCGATAAAATGACTAATTTATTGTTGACTATTTTTCTTAGAGTATCGTTATCAAGTCCATTGTGACTTGGTAGACATCATCCCATAATCCTAGCACTTGCCAAGAAATCGTTATCATCTGACCCACAGCTGGCCGTCTTTTTTGGTTTATTGGACGAGTATCCTAGCACCCGGCTGTCCAAGTCTGTCGGTGACCGGGGTGGCATTTCTCAGCTCAGAAATTTATCATATCATATGTCTAAAGCCATACATCATCGAAGAAAAACCCGAAAATTTTAGCTCCTAACCAGGATTGAACCTGGGACCTTCGGTTTACAAGCATACATCACACACCACTGGATCACCCCGGCTAATAATTCAAAAATATATAATATAAAAATCATTTTAAACAACATTATACTTAAAAAAAAAATTAAAAAATTATATATAATATTACAACACATTAAAGTAAAAAAATACTATTAAATTTTTATAAAATTCTAAATTGTAATTTGTAATAAACATAAAATAAATAAATAGAATCCATTAATTAATAATAATATAAATATAGAGTATCCAATATTTTCTGGTAACAGTGAAGTATTTTTGAGTAAGTTCAAGGCCATATTCACAGATGGCAGATATTGAAAAAGCAGGTTTATTCACTCGGAAAGTAATGGACAGGTAATATATAAAACTGAAAGCCATATGCATACCAACGGAATTTATCACTATGATTTTAATTGAAAAACTTAGATTTTTACACCCCAAAAAATCAACAACACCCAATTTAATCAAATTTAATACGGCTGTACAAGAAAAAAAATAAATAAACATATAATAGTTGGGTAAGCCGAATTTGTGTTTTGGGTAAAGAATGTAAGTTGCCCATGTACAAAGGAGTGATTGAGAAGGTTAAGATATCATCTATAAATAAAAATATCAGACACAAAATTTCTCTTAAGAACCATATTAGGATAGATGAAATCTTTAACATCTAATTGCGAAGACAGAAAATATATCTCTAAATGAATATATAGAAGGTGAATTACATCGATAAAAGATTTAGATGGCATGGGCGGAAAAGTAAAAAGATGCAAGCAGATAGATTTGGTTAAATACGAGAATAACTAAAAAAAAACAATATACATAATTTGATTACGATAATAGGCAAAGATGGGCACCAAGATGCAATGAAAACCAAAGAAATTATTTTCAGTGAAATCTTTATAATGCTAGAAACTACAATTCAAGATTATGCCACAATGATAGATTTATCTAAGGCCCAAGATCATATAACAATTTTCCAAGTTTTAATAATAGATCAAATTATAATAATAACAATAATTATAGATATAACAACGATATTAATTATAGATTTAATTTCAACAGACGATTTAATGACTCAAGATTTATTCCAAGATTTGACAACGATAAAAGATATAATCAAAATTCTGCAAATCAAGATAGACCATATACATATAAGTCATATATTAGATATCAAAATAGTGATGATAATAATCTCGATATTCAAATAAAATCAACACCGTAAATATAGAAGAAATAAAAGAGGATAACAATTATAAAATGGGAAAAAAAGAATTCAACTAATAATATAGATGTAAACAACATGGACGCTGACCATGATAATATAGCTCATGATGCTTACAAGGACATAAATGATGTATCAATATTAAAGCAAATATACACAGGTTGACTATTTACCATAATACCTAATGACATATCGAAAAAGTTTGGAATTAAAACTTTAAATAAACCTACAAAAGCCTCTGTTCTAGAGTAGAATAGACCATGGGAAACTAACGACTATATAGTCCTTCTGATGATCAACTATTTTTTATGTTTATTACTATATTAAGAAAATAATGAAACAGAAATACTCATCATTAGTACGGGTGGACCCTGGCAGGGCAAAAATTAAATTTCAACCTGGTCGGATATAAAAGTTTTAATATTTAAAGCCCTATAAAACTTTTTATCCCAGGCCTTACCCGATTTAATCCGAATGTTTTAATGATTGAAAGAAAGAAAGAAATTAAACACGAACATAACCTAAATTTTTGGCCCGACCCTGATCGAATTTTATCTTAGATTCTGAGCTTGGCAAGCCCCGAAAGTTTTGATTGAAAAATATATAAACTAAGCGCTTTTTTATAAAGAGACATCAATTTTTTTTCTAATAATAACGTGTAATTCCTTAAGAAAAAATTTATTCACTGATAACAAAATAATTTGCATATTTGTAAAATGTCTTTTGCACCATAAATACAAAACTAATTTATATATTTTTTAAAGTTAAACATTTTTTTTAGAAAAATACATTTATTTAATTAATTTGATATATTTATATCTGTGCGCCGACTGACTTATTAGCCGCAGCGTCAAATATTTTTCTAACTTAAAATTATAATTTTATTGGAAACACTTTTAAAATAAAATTTATGCAAATTTTGAATTAAATTATACCTAATTTAACGGTTTTATTAAGTTATGATTATCAAATATGCACATTATTTTATTTAAATTTATAGGACACAATGATGATCCATTAGAGTTCAGAGTGACCCACCTATGGAAAATAATGCTCACTGATTGTGCTTGTAGCTGGAACACATGAGACCTTTCTAGTTAATATTGAAAGTTTAGGTAGATCCAATGCTCTTATCTTCCTAAAACTAAGACATCTTAGGCGAAAATAATGAATATCATTCTTTTTCTAGACTAGTTAAATAGTTTATTCCAGATTCTTGTGATGAATGTTTTATCTAAGACGATAGAATTCTGAAGCAACTTCTGAGGTTTCACATTGGGTTAATTCATATGTGTAGTCATCAGAGAGGTAGCGTGTTGACATAAAAATTGCATCGGTGTAATATTTTTTATCTTTAAATATTCATTAACTACGTTTATAGATTGAAAACGAGGATCCAAAATGCTCCCAACATTTAAGTAAAAAAAATAAAACAAGGAGAAATGAATAAATAAATACTAATTTATGTATTTCAAAATGCTACCTGAAGATCGGTTATTGTATTAAGCATATTTCGTTTAAAGGATGCTATGGTAGAACTATCATATTCTTTTACGATTAAATGATTAATTTCGCTAAGGAATAAATAGATTTATAGTACATTTGGGGCGGATAAAAATTCAACAGTTTTTGGAAATTTGTAAAAAAATTTAAATGTTCATGTACAAAGTCCCAAACAGGGTTAAATAATTTGAGATCTGGTTTCTCCATTTTATTTAATAGAATATTTATGGGAATTTTGTTATTACAACTCACACCTTCTAGCATTATTAAAATACTATGTCAACATGTAGGCACATTCAATTTTAAAGTTTTATGTTTCTTCTCATATGATTTTTGATTTATACTTTCATCATCAAACCCGAAATTATTTTCGCGTGAATGCTATCGATAAAAAGCATTTCGTATTTTGATTTTCGACATCGATCATATCTTCAAAATCCTCTGTTTTGAATTTTAAAGCAACTATGATTTCTATCACTTTTTTTAATGAGATTTTATATTTTATTAAATTTTTTTATTGTCACTAAATTATGTAATCCATGACCCAAACAAATGATGGTCATATTCTCCTAGACGAACACTATACATTTGTTTGATCCGTAATCATTTGAATTTTTTTAGACCTTAAATTGAATCCATTTTCAACTTTACCT